ACTGATATTTGTTACAAATAACTAAGGGAAAATGACAAAAAAAAAGACTGTTGAAATTTGAAATGACAAAATGGGCATGCAAATAACTGAAATGACCAAATGGGCATGAGGTATCAATCTGGAATTTTGTCAATTCGGTAGAAAGACTAAAACGCCCCTAAACCTCTCTAAAGATATGAACTGAAAGAAAACGCATAATATACCAAAAGAGAGAGAGAGTTAAGAAGACGAAGCTGGAGCAAGAGTCAAAATCTGGAAAGAGGAAAAAGGTAAGCAATTTTTCCGTTAAAATGCTAGTATCTCCTGATTTTTTGACTCGCCTTGTTGCTGCATGCTCGAATAGGGATGGGCTTGTGAGTGTAGAGGGTTTAGATGAAAAATTTGACTAAAATGAGAGAGTGACGCATCGAAAATGGAAAAATGGTGGCAAACAGTAAGCATAAGGTGGTCAGTGTTGTTAAATTCATTAGTGAAATTGTAAAATCATATATTTAAGTTGTCAATGGAGTAAGTGGGTGTGTGTGTTTTTTGAGTGTTTCGAAAGATAAATAAAATTGATTATTGGGAAACTAAAATATTGATTTATGTTTCTTTGTTGCAGGTTAGCAAGCTTTGATGACATCTAACATTGGGTCTAACACTGATGAGTAATTTTTTTGGTGTGAATAGAATAACTTTTGAACCCTTAATTTTTTTGGGAGAATAGTTGATAGGTAGGTTATCCTTTTTGTAAATGATGTTAATTGGGTAGGATATATTTTGTAATCTGAATGACAAGGAAACATTAAGTGGTGGTTTAATTTTAATGTTAACTGGTCATTTGAATATAAGTTATGTAATTTGTATCATAGGCGTACTAGTTTTTAGTAAATATTATCACTTCAGTAGTCAATTCCATTATACATGTAGTAAAATCTGAATATTAATGTAAATATATTATGATGTTTTTCAGGTGTACTTGTATGCTATTTTGTCAACACATTTTACCATTTGCTTAATTCCTCTAAGGGAGATGGTGAAAGTTGCCAATGGGCATGACTGGAGTGGTTAATTTGATTACAAATGCTGTTATTCACATTACAAATGTTGTTATTATCATTATTGGGATAGTGAGTGGCTATGGCATGTCATCTTACAAGTATGTGTGTGTGTTCATTGCTACTGGGGCTATTGATGCTTGAGGTTACAGGATTCAAGTTTTGGAAATTTAGAAGCTGATATAATGGTGTTGAAAGACTGTTTAATGAATCTAAATTATATATTAGCATCTTTTGAAAGTAGAAATAATTTACAGATTATATATTACTTCTAGTTGAAATGTTTTGAAGGTTAAAAGCTGATTCAATACGTGTAAAATATTTGTATATATATGGGTATGTGGGTTATTGCTTGTGAATTGATGCTTGTGGAATTAAAGTATCGAGGCATAAAATTGATTTTCCTTTCTTTTTTTTAAGAAATCTGCTGGTTTGAGGATTGAAGAGCTAGAAATTAAAAACTGATTTGGACATAATAATTTATGTCTCTAAGTGCTGAATTATGATTGTGCCGTTTGAATCATATTGTTTTATAGCCTGTGAGCTCAAAGTAGAAGCTGAATTATGCATTCATGTGGTGGCTAGTGAATCATGACCTTAATTCAAGACGTGACTAAGCATTAAGCTTGTTTTCATCAAATGAAGCCACCATGCTGACCAAAAGACAGCATCTGTGATAGTAGTAAAGATTACGTAAATTAAACATATAGTACTTGTGAAAGTAGTGTCCAGATATTGTCAAAATACTTGACTTATGGTTGTAGGTTGTAAGTTATGATATTTGTTGACTTAATTTAAATCTTTTTTGGGATAATTTCACTAAACAAGTAATGATAATTACAGTATGCATAATGAAAGTTGTAACTTTTGTCATGGCATTTGCAACTCAATTATTTATACCCCAAATTACATCTACTTGGACCCAAATTTCACTACACACGTAATGGGATTAACAACATTCGTAATGAAAGTGACCACTTTCGTATTGCCATTTGCAACTCCTTTATTTCAAACCCAAGTAACATGGAGTCAATTTCACTACTCCAGTAATGATAACAACAACATTTGTAATATGAATTACAAATTTTGTAATGAGAGTTATCATCTCGCTATTGCCGTTTGCAACTCGTTTATTTCAAACCCAAATAATATGTATTTGGAGCTAATTTCACTATCCCAATAATGATAATGATAATATTTGTAATGTGAATTACAACTTTCGTAATGAGAGTTACGATTTCGCTATTGCCATTTGCAACTGGTTAATGTCAAATGAACTTAACATGTATTTGGAGCCAATTTTACTACCCTGATAATGATAATGACAACATTTGTAATGTGAATTACAACTTTTGTAATAAGAGTTACTATCTCGCTATTGCCATTTGTAATTCATTTCTTTCAAACCCAAGCAACATATATTTTCAGCCAATTTTACTACCCCGATAATGATAATAATAACGTTTGTAATGTGAATAACAGCATTTGTAATCAAATTAACCACTCTGGTCATGCCCATTGGCAACTTTCACCATCTCCCTTGGAGGAATTAAGCAAATGGTAAAATGTATTGACAAAATAACATACAAGTACACCTGAAGAACATCATAATATATTTACATTAACATTTAGACTTTATTACATATATAATGGAATTGACTACTGAAGTGATAATATTTACTAAAAACCAGTACGCCTATGACAGAAATTACATAACTTATATTCAAATGACAAGTTAACATTAAGATTAAACCACCACTTAATGTTTCCTTGTCATTCAGATTACAAAACATATCATACCCAGTTAACATCATTTACAAAAAGAATAACCTACCTATCAACTATTCTCCCAAAAAAATTAAGGGTTCAAAAGTTATTCTATTCACACCAAAAAAATTACTCATCAGTGTTAGACCCAATGTTAGATGTCATCAAAACTTGCTAACCTGCAACAAAGAAACATAAATCAATATTTTAGTTCCCTAATAATCAATTTCATTTATCTTTCGAAACACCTAAAAAACACACACCTGCTTACTCCATTGACAACTTAAATATAGGATTTTACAATTTCACTAATGAATTTAACAACACTGACCGCCTCATGCTTATTGTTTGCCACCATTTTTCCATTTCCGGCTCGTCACTCTCTCATCCTGGTCAAATTCTTCATCTAAACCCTTACACTCACAAGCCCATTCCCATTCGAGCATGTAGCAACAAAGCGAGTCAAGAAATCAGGCGATACTAGCATTTTAACGGAAAAATTGCTTACCTTTTTCCTCTTTCCAGATTTTGACTCTTGCTCCAGCTTCGTCTTCTCAACTCTCTCTCTTCTGGTATATTATGCGTTTTCTTTCAGTTCATATCTTCAGAGAGGTTCAAGGGCGTTTTAGTCTTTCTACCGAATTGACAAAATTCCATATTGATATCTCATGCCCATTTGGTCATTTCAGTTATTTGCATGTCCATTTTGTCATTTCAAATTTCAACAGTCCTTTTTTTGTCATTTTCCCAATAACTAATTTAACAAACTTTCTTAATTTATTTAAATTAATCAACTAGCTCTTATATTAAAACCTTTGCCTATTTGATTAATGGATAACGAAATGGGGAAAGAATGAAAATAACCAGACCACAACAGAATTCGAACGTCCAGATCTTGCAATCCAAATAAAAGATTCATCCAAGCCAAAATGTTCAAGGGAGATTCCTGAGAGAAAGTGGAAGCAAGGCCTGCAAGAACATCATAATAATGGACAACTCCAATGCTTTTTTATCAATCAAAACTCTGAAGGGTATCAGATAGTTGTGCGAACAATTAAAAGTGACAGAATTCTCAAGCACATCATGAAACGATAAGTCTGAAATTTTACTACATCCAGAAGCTGACTCTGTTGCTTGCAAGTACTATTGTTACACCAAGCAACCGCTAGGTACACAGACAACAAGAACGTTACATGGCATGTTCATTAAAAAAAAAAAAAAAAAAAAAAAAGAAACATAATATTGGATGGGTAAGCGAAACTTTTCCTAAGACACAAGCATTTTACACACTTATTCCCTATAACTGCTAATTATGACATGCTTCAATTTACAGTTTGCAAAATCTGGCCTGAATACTTAGGGAGACAGGTTTTTATAGTTCAGTATTCATCATTGGAGCCTGTACCAATTTAAACGCACAATCAGTTTCAATGAAGAAGGAAAAAACAATGAACAATTCTTTCAGTCTATATTATTAAGTATTTCATGGGATGCTGTTAAAACAATGAGTGCCTCATTTACAGCATGGTTTTCTTAGCGGTCTTAAAACTTAAGGAAGGGTTATAATATTTCTATGACAACTTATTACATGATTTGAAAAGAAACTATAGCATTTTTTCCCCCCAACTCAACCAAATTGTTTCAAACACAGCAAAGGGAGAAGAAATATATAAAATAGAACCAGTTCATCCCCTCAAAACTCTTGACTAGACCGGTCAAGGAATTAGTTTACTAGTTCACTAGCTTGCCTGGCCGATGGAATTGGGCTTTAAAATAATGCAAGAATTGGTCACTCCAATCAAATTCACACACATAAATTTCAATATAACAACATAGAAAGATCTGAATTGCCCCTATTCTAGACTCAGAAAACTGTGTGAGACTTGAAGAATTAGTCTATTCATTATAAACTTCGAACAAACACAGCATTTACGTCTGATATCACTGATAGTTTGAAACCAAATCTTGTATCAATTTGAAAACAATCATCATCTGTAAACCTTACCTTCAAGCAGAGTCACTAGCAGCATCTTTCTTTTGAAACAGAAACAAATCTTCTTCAAAGCATTATACTAGCGCATGTTACTGCACTCCAAGGATTGGTCTGCTTCTAGCAATAATTGGACACGCGTGTGAATTTTAAAACTATCATATAGAAACATCAAAACTGTTTTTATCCTAGACTAGGAAAAACTGTTTGAGACTAAAAGAATCCATTCATTCATATTGTAGCCTTTGAGCATAATCCTTTATGTTTGCTTCTGATAGAACTAAAAATTTGGACACGATCATCATCTATAAACCTGAACAATGTACAATTCTCAGTTAAAGCGGCTCCTTGGGGTCAAATAGGAAGCCTCATCAGTACTGGGTCTGTTTCCTATAACATCCAATATTTCATCAGTATCATTTGGTAAGACAGGCCTAATTCTCACCCTTGGTTTACATGCAGGTAAAAATGGAAGCGGTGCTTCACCCTTGAGAATCCTAACTGCATCTCTCACTCTTGGCCTGTTCTCATGGTCTGGATGCACGCATATAAGCCCCACCATGAGCATCCTCTCCATCTCTTGCACATCAAACTTCCCCATCAATCTTGGATCTCCAGCTTCAACCAGGTTTCTCTTTTCCCACATCTTCCATGTGTAATCTACAATAACAGTTCCATCATCTTCCACCGGTTTCCTCCCAGTAGCCACTTCTAGCATCACTATGCCAAAGCTGTACACATCAGTCTTCACAGTTGGAACACCTGAATATACATATTCAGGTGCAAGGTAACCCATTGTTCCTGCAGGCAAAGTAGCTTCTCTTGTATCACAACTATGCTCATAGACTTCTGCCAGTCCAAAATCCCCAAGCTTGGCATTGAAATCTGCATCGAGCATTATATTGCAGGTCTTCACATCTCTGTGAATGATTTGCCTCTCACACTCTTCATGAAGATAGGTGAGGGCAGAAGCAACCCCCAGAATTATGTTCACCCTTTGTTTCCATGAAAGAACCACTGAAGAATTGTAGTTCTTGTGTAGGATTCTGTTGAGGCTACCATTAGGCAGGTACTCATAGACAAGAACTAACTCAGACCCTTCACAGCACCATCCTTGAAGCTGAACCAAGTTCTTGTGCCTTAAGCAGCCAGCCATGGTGGCAAACTCATTGGTAAAAGGATTGTGCAAATAGTCTATGCTATTACAGCCATTAACCTTCCCAAATCTTTTCACAGCAACATCTCCTCCATATGGAAGAGACCCTTTATAGACTTTTGCCGATGTTCCTTCCCCAACAAGTCTGTCTCTGCTGAATCCCATTGTTGCTGATTTGATTTCAGAGAGAGACAATCTTGAGGGGAGTTTTGTGGATTGGAATTCACAATGTTGATCTTCTCTCAAAGGATCTCCAACACTTGCCTTTTTTCTCTTAACCAAGAATATGCAGATTAAAAATGCAGAGACTATAAATGCAGCAATGCCTCCCAACCCAAGAGCCATGTCCCCTAGCTTTTCTCTTCTATAGTAAGTATTATCAATCTGGTGAGTAGCTATGGTAGAATTCTCTGGATAACAAAAGAAACAGTCTCCTTCCTCTACCATATCTATCGGATTCACTGAACTAATAAACCCAAAAGTTTTGAATTGCCAATGATCGATAGAATGAATACCTGAGCCCATCACATTGGAGGCAGAGAAACCCACATGCATAAACTCCTTAAGTTTCTCAGAGAGGTCAATCTGAGCAACCAAAATAGGAGTTTGAGGCCGAGCTGGAGAGTGACCCACCCATACACGAACCATTTTCTGGGCATCTCTGTACTCAATCCAAGCCGTAATTTTTCTCCCACTCTTCAGATCAATTCCCTCAGAAATAGCATCCACTGAGGCGATAGATATGATTGTATCAACATCAATACCGATGTGATTCCCATTAATGTCACCCACTGCAGGGTCAAAATTGGTGTCAAATTCCACAGCAAAATAAGAATCTTGCTGATTTATAGATAGAGATGGGAGACCCATATAGCCACGAGAGAAGCTGACCAAGTCGGTATTGGAGATGATCATGAAGGCAATGCCATCACCAGAATGACACGAAGGGGAAGAGACAATTGAAAAAGTGAAGCGGCAAGAGAAAGAAGCTGTAGAGTTCGTTTCAGAATCAAGAAATCGAACTGGGTTTACATAGAAAGCTCTTCCAACCCCAGAAGAAGAAGAAGATGAAGAAGAATGGTGGTGACAGCTGAGTTCTTGGGTGAGACTAATGGCCTTATTTCCGAAATAGGCGTCACCTAAGAGGGTTACGTTTTGTGAGGGCAAGAAAGAGAAAGAAAGTGAGGGAAAATTGAAGGCAATAAAGAAAAAGAAACAGACCCACAAGAAACAGGGATAGAGCGAATGCATTGCAGAGTCATAAGTGTAAGATCAGAGTAAATGCAGAAATTTGTAGGAGAAAGAGTGAAACAGAGAGAAAGTATCAAGTTTTTCTTGGCTTGTTCGTTTCATTCGCTCGAACGGGAGTGGAGGGTGGGAGAGGCGGAATGCTGAAGCGGAAAAGAAGAGCGGAACATGATTTATTATAAAAATATTTCCTCTATCTTATAAACTTTTATTAAAATTAAAATTTATGTTATACAAATTTTTTTTATACACATTTGATGGTCTATTTCCATCAATTTAATTATTAGTTGACCGTTCCCTTTGATTTTTAAATTTTTATTTTGATCAAAACATCGCTCCTCAACATAAATATTATTTAAACATTCATATCTATAAAAAATAATTATTTATAAAAAAATTATAATATGTATTTTTGAATTTTGTTTACTATTCTATATGATTTATTAATTTTGATTATATTATAGAATTATATAATTTTAATTCTTTGCAACATATTAAAACTTATTTATTTAAATTTCTTTTAAATGACTAGAAAATATTTTAAATACATTTTTAATAGTATAATATAAATTTTGTCAGTTTCAACACTACATAAATAATTTAAATTTAAAATTTAAAATTTTTAAACAAAATTTTATTTCAAACATTTATAATTTATTTGATCGATTATATATTTATTGAAGGAATTTTTCATTATTTTTTAATGTTAACATTAAGTAAATTATTTTATTTTCTGTCTCAATATGATAAAAACATTAAAAAAATAACTATTTGTAAAAATAAAAAGTAAAATTAAGATAAATTTGTTTTTTTTAAATTCTTCAAAATAGTTTTAGCTAAAATTTAGAGATTTAGTGTTATAACGGATAAATTAGTAATAAAAAGTATTTCAACCTAAATTTTAATTAAAAAATATCTTTTTTATAATATTCTTAATGGAGTTAATTATTTGGATTTAAGCGTATATTTTTCAAATAGAAGGGAAGTCTGTGTAGTTAAAATAAAATGCAAGGAAGGTTAGAGTATTTTACTCTTTTTTATTTTTTATTTGATTTTTATTATATACATAACTGTGATTATAACAAATAGTATCCAAGGTCAAAAAAATTGTAAAAAATAAAATAATATATATCTATAATTATTTGTTATTTTTAATTCTTATAATATATATAACAAAGGTCAAATTTATTTTCGGTATATTAAACTTATTTTTACCTTTATTTTCATTTATCGAGTTGATGCAATTTCAATTTAGTCTACAAAATATTATCTTTGATTTTATTTTTCCCTTAATTTAGTTTCAATTTAGTTCCTTAAAGTCCTCTCTCATAGTCATATGTTTTATGTAAACAAATATATATATATGTATATATGCAAATAGATATTTTTTTGGGTAGTTTTTTCAGGGGAGTTTTCTCTCTTTAAGGCAGTGTAATTTTCCATTTCACTCCTTGAGTTTTGATGATCATCCTATTGATTATACTTATCTTTCTTCGAGATATTAATATATCTGGTATATTGATTATTTTGGAAAGTTTTTCGTGTTTAGACAACAAATGTTACTTCTAAGTTGCAATTGGTGCACAACACATGGAATTTTAAAGACAAAACTATACTTTTTTGTTGGGTTTTAGATGGCTATCATGTAGTTTATGCTTCGAAGCTTCAATCTTTAATTGATCTATACTAGCATATTTGAGATTAGGTTAAGATTATTTAACAACTTTACAACTATATGGGCATTTAATTTATTTCAGCGATGTTCGAAATAAATCTTTTATTCTCAATCAATGTTCATGGCTCCTACAAAGCCTCATGTTGGCAATTTTTTAGTGGCAGACGAACATGGCTATAGCAAAGACTTCTTTTAATCATGTCCATGTTTGGGTTCGGATTTATGGATTGCAATTAGATTATTACATGTTGTGAAACTGCTAAGTAATTCACTTGATGCTTTCTTAACTTTTGATTAATCATGCTTATTAAAAAATAATGGTCTTTGAGTGAAGGTGGCACTCCCAAGATAAGTTTCGATTTTGAAAATTCCTTCCTTTAAGTTTCAATATATCTGGTGATCATCTTCAGCTCTCTTTCTTCTAAGAGCATATTGGCTGACCTTACTAACAATGTGGAATGTTTGGTCGTACTCAAAGGCGGTGCAGGTAGGGTCTATATTAAAGCCAGGTGATTAGGACTAGGTCAACCCAAATAAAGCTCTCAAGATAGTATTACAGGTTTCAAAGGGATAATGGTATTTTAATATGGGCTTATGCTGACGTAATGGACTCTTACCCTCAAGCTTATGGTTCTATGGCTCAACTAATGCTTTAATTGCTAATGTTGCTGAGTTATCTCATTCCCTGCATGCCACAAAAAAGAGGAAGAACGTTGTAGGTGATAATGACCTCTCAGGTTAGGAGAGTTAAGCTAACTCGTTGCTTAGAGAGAGTGGATGGTTTGCAACAAGGTTTAGTTATTCTCCTGATGCCTTAATAGAGACTTATCATTATTACTCACATAGCATAGAACACTTGAGGTGTGGCTCTTTGTTACTGAACCTTAGTTTCTTACAAACTATGAGGGTTAATTTTTACAAACTATGGGGGTTAATACTCACTGCTATGATACTCATGCTTTTACCCTTCCATGCTTTCAATTTTTTTTTTTTTCATTTTCATCAACAAATGGTTATAGTTGGCAATAAATATTTGTCAAGTTGACTTCGATGATCCTCATGGTGGGAGGGCTATAAATACTCGTCATCAGCTTCTTTTGCTTTGTACAAAGTCATCTTAGAAATCATATACAGAAAAATTGGCTTTTTGCAAGATTGTATGAGACAGCTTTCTACCTATTTCTTCATCGACAGCAAGTGAAAGGTCAGCATACCTTATGTGTACTACTATGGTTGATATCCTTTTTGTCTTGGAACATGACGTGCATATGCATGAAGTCACCTCAATTACTATTAAATTGCCAAGCATACCAGTGGGATCACCACAATGGCTAGAGCATGGGTTATATGAGCCTCCTTAGGAATCCCTATATAGTATTGGTTATAATACATTTTTTCATCTTATACCTTCATGCTTAACTATGTGCCTCATACAATGATCTCAAGGTTACATCTCCCCGAGATATGGTAGTCTTTCCTTCTTCATATGATAGGAAGACTTCCTCTTGCTAGGGGATATTTGCCATAAATGGTATAGAGATTGCTGATTTCTGTAATGCACAGACAACTTCAATTATCAAATTCAAGAATAAGAGCTCTTCTTCAATGGACATGCTATGGATGTAGGGGTGATGAGTCCCTATTCTATTATATGATTTTATATCTATTTCTGGGGTTTTGTGATAATAATTAGGTGAATTAGCATCAAATAAAGGAAAAATACAATAAAAGTAATTAAATAAAATAAAGAATAAAAATAGGCTCATTTGTCTATTTTGTTTTTATAATTTCTCCTTAAGGAATTTATCTATGCGGATGAAGGGTATTTCTTTTTATGATTCTAGGATATTCCAAAGAGATTCATAGGCTAAGGCTGAAGACATTGACAAAAGGCCCAAACATTGCTGCTAAGATCGATAATGGACTTAAATAAAGCCAAAAAAACAACGCATATGTAGGAGATCTATGAAGTTTAAGGCCTTTTGATTGCAATTGGACCGACTTACAACTTGGTTAAGGCACATTCATATCAACCTATCACATATACTCTTCAATTAGACTCTAAAAGCATCACTTGAGCCCAAATTGCAAGTCTTTTATGGCTCTATAGCTCAAAAAAAGTGGCTAGCATTAAGGAAGGGGTAGAGCGGTGATTTCACAAGGCTACTTCCTCAACAAGTCAAGCAAAATGCCACATAGATTAATGAAGAGCATATTAGGAATTTCAAATATTATTAATCTCTTAATTATATTAATTTGTGCAACCATTATATTTAATTAAGTAAAAGATTCAATCTCCTGCAATATCTCTTATTTAATTAAATTAAATATAATAGCTAAATAAATTAAAGGAAGCATCTCCTCATCAAATCCATATTATCATCTCTTATCAAGATTCAAATTCAAATCATTATCTCTCCAAGATCAAGCCACTTATGAACCAAAAAATATAAAGATATCCAGGAAAAGAAAGATGAAGTAAGAAAGATGAAGAAGAAGATAAAGATTCATCAAGATTAAAAATCAAGAATTTAAATTATATTATCTTGATTATCTTCATACCTCTACCTCTTCAGGTTACCTAAAGGAAGAAACCTCTTAGGCTATAAAAAGAGGGCCAAGATATAGATGGAGGACATGCCACACTCACAAAACATATCACACAAGCATGCACACTTGTGGCGCAATTTACTCTTGCATTCTTTTTCGTCTCTCTTTGCTTATTTTCTTCGATCAATGACGTTGTCTTCTAGTCTCATGAGTAGCTAGTTCCCCTTATTTCTTGGGGATGAACTTTAAGGCTTGATGATTTGCAACCTTTTCTTGACCTTGGAGGTTAAATCAAAATTTTTATCCAAGGATTGCACTATAGGGTGCAACCTTGGGTCGTTTCACTTGAACGGAGCCTTAATGAAACCTAAGCTAACTTAAATGTCATGCAATGCAAACTGAACATAAAAAGGGGGGCTTTGGTTTTTCAAAAACATTAGGTCAATTGAACTGAATAATAAACAAAATATTTTTGGATTTTAGGGAAATGAGAAATGAATGATGATAAATAGATAACCAGACAATGATAAAGATCCTTTTGAAAGTGTGCTCAGGCAGTCATAGTTCGAAATCAATTGACATGGGAGTAGAAATCACTAAGTTTCAAATTGATAAACCTTAAAGTACTCTTTAAGTCTAGGATCTTAATCAACGAAACTCCATTTCTCAAGATCCTGTGAGGTGCTCTTAGTGTGTATAGAAAGATTGATTAATGTAATAGGTCAAATGCAATCAAAATCAACTCAATATCAAGACATAACTGTGTAAGAGTAGAGAGAATCTAAAGATTACAACTAACATACATGATACTTCATATATTTAAGCTCAAAATTT